CCGCCCCCCCCCCCCCCCCGGGGCATGAGGGGCTCCCTGTCCCACTCCCCAAAGCACTTAATACTTCAGTGCATCCAGAGCAGAAACCACCAGGCCTGCCAGGCAGAGAGACTCACTCTAGCAGGCCGCGGGTCGGGGACCATTCAGGACCCATCCAGATGTCCCTGCCTGGGGAGAATCAGCCACTGCTTGCAGCACGGAACCTCCGCCCGCCCATACACCCAGGCACCTGGAAGACCGGGCCCGACCCAGAACCCTGCCTCTGCTCCTTCCGGGCCGCGGGCGTCCTCGTCCTGAGCAGACTCAAGGACTGCGAGTGTGCGCATCCTGGCCAGAGCGGGCCTCGCGGTGCCCGTGGCCCTCAGCCGCGGCAGTGGCGTCGTTTAAGTGCTTTCTCTTCTGTCTGTGATTCCAGGTGACCAGACCCTGCAGCTACAGCAAAAAGTCCCACTTCGACTTTGAGGAGGAAGACGTGGACAAACTGGAAATTAGGTGAGGGAGGAAATCAGTGCTCACCGTTTCCTGCCCTGCAGTCTTAGTCTGAATTACTTTCGTATGTTTGTTTTGTTTTGTGTCTAATTTCCATTTTCTCGGTCACTTTAACACCAGGATGTTAGCAGTTGTAGTTTTGTCATAAACTTCCCAGATATCAGGAAGGGGGGTTGAAAAGATATTATTTACTTACCAAATGGACAAGCTTGGTTTGCAGTCCATCTGCAGGATCTTCTGAGACACGAAGGTCAAGAGGTTTGTGTTGCTCAGGGTCTGCTGTGAGGTGCTGTCTGCCAAACCTGTCAGAGGCTGCGCGGCCAGCACGCTGGTCACAGCTGTTTACAGGGTCCTGACGTGAAGCCCTCCCTGTGCAGTCTGTGCTCGCCTCCTGCAACAATCTCAATGCAGAGGCTGCACCAGGACCAGTTTTAGAAGCCACCCAGGGACCTTCTTCCCGCTGGCATTGGTTCACGGGACATACTCTGGAACCTGGCGTCTGCCCAGTGCCCTTCTCCCAACGGGACACAACTCCTGAGGATGTGCTTCCCTCAGGCTGGATGGGCCTGCATGCAGCCCTCTCCCTGGGGTCCTGTCTTCACCATCCCTGCTTGTTCGACTGTGTTGTCATGGAAACTGGGACTTCCTCATGCCTTCCCCTAAGCCCCTGATCCTCCTCTTGCGGCATCCTGGTGTCTCCCACAGGATGTGGTAGAATGACACGTGGATCTGCTGGGGTAAGGATGTGTTCTGCCCAAAATTCAGAGCGAGCACTGAAGGAGACAAGAGCCAATGCGAGTCTTTATTCCCAGAAAGTACCAAGATCCCACTGACTCAGTCTGGGGGAAGCTTCCTGTACCCTGTGGGTCCCTCTTCCTGGGAGAAATCAGCTGGATTCCTCTTTGCTTCTGATTGTAGCCTCTGTTCTTCCTGTACCAACTGCTGCCTCCTACCCAGTGTGAAGAGGCAGATATAAGTTTCCTTTCAAGTTTTCCCTATTGTGCAAAAAATGAAAAGAAAGGAAGAGAAGAGAACAAAAGAGAAAAGAGAAGCAGGAGAAGAGCAGAGCGGGCACAGAGAATGCTGCAGGTTGTTTCTTTCCTGACTGTTCTCCCCGAGCCTGGGGTGAAGGCCTCGCCCTGGGACTCACCTACATCCATTTAGGCTGTTTGGGGGATGCTTGGCCTTCAAATTGCTGATCATGCGTCCTTTTTGGGGAGACTCAGCAGCCCCTCCCTCACGCTTAGGGTGCGGTGGGACTAAGCCTGCCTCATTGGCCTGGCAAACGTGTTTGTTTGAGAGCCTTAGGAATTTTCCTAGTTTGATATGGCTTAGATCTGCTTCCTTTAGGGTCAGGTTTCCTGAGGAATGAAAGGTTCCGTTAGAAATGCCACAGGCGTGCGGGCAAGGGAGGCCCCTGGGCACTTTGCACGGTGGGGTGGAGCCCGTGGGACGCAGCCAACCCTGCGGTGTGCTGCATGTTCTCCCAGTGCAACTCAGCTCAGTTTCCACTTCTCCTACCTCATCCCAAGTCCAAGGACGTTAGTCCGTATCTGTTGATGATAAAAGAATACCTGAAACTGGGTAATTTATAAAGAAATGAAACTTATCTTTTACAGTTTTGTAAAGCTGAGCAGTCCAAGGTCCAGGAAACACATCTGGTGAGGGCATTGTTCATGGTGGGGGCTCTGCAGTGATGCAGGGCGTCACAGGGCGAGGGTGGGCTAAGCAAGGGAGAGCTGACCTGCTCACTTGCTCTCCTTGCAAAGCCATCAGAACCACACCCACCACTCCGTGAGTGGACAAATCCCTTCACCAGGCACAGTCCTCACAATCCAACCACCTCTAAAGGCCCCACCTCTCGATACCATAATTGTTTCCCACCCTCTTTACACTGTTCCAATGGGGGTCAAGTTTCCAGTAAGTGAACTTTTCGGAGACACATTTGACCCATAGCACCATGGGACAGTTGCCTCCACAGACTTATTTCTGTTTGAGGCCAGTTTTTTTTTTTTTTTTT